TTTTTTCCATTATGGTTTTCCAAACGGTTATATGAGTAAAATGAATATCCTCGTCAGCTCTGAATTTGAAACTTAATCAAGGCATGCCAAAATGTTCTTCCATATGTTATCTATCACTACAGTTAACATAAATTAGCATAAATGTTTCTGGATCTTGTAGAAGACTTTCGAAAAAGCCATGGTTTTTCAAGTATTTTCTATTTTTCTCGGGTGAAGGACATTTTTTTATTCAATAAAAAGATCATATTCAGAATCAGCACAAGAAACTGCATCGAACCAAATATGATACATTTATTTTAAAGTGAAATATTTCCTTTTGATTTTTTCGCGATGAGATCTTCCTAAATTGAATTACTCGAAAAAATTAACTTTTTGAAAAGGACTATTCTACTTTTGATCGTTCACTAGGCTTAGGAGTAACAATTGTAGAGACGGAACAAGTGTTGATGCGCAAAAAAAGAATGCCATGTCCCCATAACAAACCACAATTGCTCACTGTGCCAACTGCCCCTGTATTTAGAGTTTTACACTGAATTTTGATATAAAACTCCTATCGACTTGGAGGATTGTGTTGAGCGAGCTGTTTGAGAAATGTTTTGTTGAGAAGGCAGTTTTATTCTATAAAAAATAGTCTGTGTCAAGGTTTGTTGAACACATTTCCAATCATGATCAATAGTTTTGTGACCCTACTCGAGTAGTGTCACATATTGTCTATATGTCTCACCATATTTATGCCTCAATTTTTTCATAATTGGAAAGTGAAGAAGCTCTTTGAAATGTTACTAAAGCATTTCGAATATGTTACTCAAATGTTTGGCAAGTTGCGCTTTTTCGTTGTATGTATCATAGAATGGTATTGAAGATAAAGAAGTTGAATGGATTGAATCAGATTCTTATAGGTTCCCTATTTTAAATTATTTGCACTTTCTAATTTATTAAATTAAAAATTAAATTAAATTATTCTATTTTTTTTGTGATACTTTGTGTAAGAAATATATCCTTCTTTTAACATTATATTTATTTATAAATCAAGTGGTATACAATTCTCTCATGCAAGCTATAGTAGATACGGTCAGTTACCGCTACATTATCAAGTAACTAGTAACGAAAAATTTGCGACTTTGAGTTTTTTGTTGAGGTAGGCCTATTATTCGAAAAAAATGATTTATTATAAACTTCGATGAAAAGCTTGTTGAAGTCGAGGAAACCAAGTCTATTTAAGGTTTGCGAAAAAATCCAACTCGAAAATTTTTAGAAATCGATTAGATATTCGGGTTCCTCCGCCTTCGAAACCTTTCATCAAACTGTATGCGATGTCGTTATTTTCGCAAAGTAGCTCTTTTTTAACGGAAAAATCAAGACTACAATTTCTCCGTTACTCGTTACTTGGTAACATAACAGTGAGTGACCTTCCCCACTGTCGATTAGACGAAAGCATTATGTTTCATTTGGTTCATAAAGAAATGTAATGTTAACAATAGGCTATATTTTTACATAAAACATCACAAATAAGTAGAATAATTTAATTAATTTTTCACTTTAATAAATTGCAAATTGCAAATAATTTAAACTTAAAATAAAATAAATCATTTATAGCTTGAATTTATTTTACATTAACGGAACAAATGACACCAATAGGTTGTACCCAAATATAGGATACATATTGCAAATTCATTAAAAAGCATAAGAATGCCCTACATATTTGGAGGGTTTGAATTCTCCAAACGATAAATTTTTTATTTTCGTTTTCTAAATATACTTTTACATGAGTTACATATTTCGTCGGACGAGAGATATCCATAAATAACACCGATCATTTCAATTCCATGACCATTGATGATCGCTTGTTGATGCACTTATCGATGACGCTAAATTACTCGTGACGCAATGATTCGATAGAGAAAAAAGAATATAAAGGATGGCTCTGATTCAGATATGTGTACGCAAATGCTCAGCTAGCACTAAACTGAATTCTCAATTTATTACTTCCTCAATACTAACTCTCCTCGTCGCTATCAAATACGAGTATATCGTGACCTAACTCTTTCTTTGATTGAATACGTACTATGCGAACAGCTCTTATTATTGTCGCATATGATGGCATCGATCATGTAGATGTGCTTGTCACATATAATCTCGGGTCTTTCGATCATCCAATGACATATTCAACTGGCCATTGGCCACGCTCTGTAACTGTTGGAGATTTTAATAACGACACTCTACTGGATATCGTTGTCACCAATCAGGTCGGTAACACTATAGGTGTCCTTCTTGGATATGGAAATGGCTCATTTGCAAATCAAAAGACATACTCAACTGGTTCTGTACCATGGTCTGTAGCTGTTGGTGATTTTAACAACGACACCCAGCTGGATATCGTCGTTGCTAATTATGCTGACAGCACCGTAAGTGTCCTTCTCGGATATGGCAATGGCTCTTTTGCAAATCAAACGAAGTATTCAGCTGGCTCTGGCGGACTATCTGTAGCTGTTGGTGATTTTAATAGTGACACCCGACTGGATATCGTCGTTGCTAATTTGGGTGACAACACTATAAGTATACTTCCCGGATATGGCAATGGCTCTTTTGCAAATACAACGAAATATTCAACTGGGTATGAACCATGGCCTGTAGCTGTTGGTGATTTTAACAACGACACCCATCTGGATATCGTCGTCGCTAATTATGGTGACAACACTGTAAGTGTCCTTCTTGGATATGGCAATGGCTCTTTTGCAGATCAAACAACATATTCAACTGGCATTAGTCCTTCATCGGTAGCTGTTGGTGATTTTAATAGCGACAACCGACTGGATATCGTCGTTGCTAATGCGAATGACAATACTGTAAGTGTCCTTCTCGGATATGGCAATGGCTCTTTTGCAAATCAAACGAAATATTCAGCTGGCATTAGTCCTTCATCGGTAGCTGTTGGTGATTTTAATAGCGACAATCTACTGGATATCGTCGTCACTAATTGGAGTGGCAACACTATGAGTGTCTTTCTTGGATATGGCAATGGTTTTTTTGCAAATCAAATGATATATTCAACTGGCATTAGTCCTTTTTCTGTAGATGTTGGTGATTTTAATAATGACACTCGACTGGATATCGTTGTCTCGAATACCAATGAGGAAAGGGTTAGTGTACATCTCGGATATCCCAATGAAGGTTTTCTAAACCAAATGAGGCTCATAACTGGGAATGGATCTCGGCCTAAGTCATTCGCCATTGGGGATTTTAACAATGACGGTCAAATGGATATTGCAGTTGCAAATTCAGGTACTAACAACGTTGGTATTTTTCTGAGATATGACAATGGTTCTTTCGCAAATCAAATGACATATCCAACCGATTCCTCTCCATGGGCGGTAGCTGTTGGTGATTTCAACAATGATACAATACTTGACATTGTCACCGTGAATCATGTCAATGACACTGTTGGTGTATTTCTTGGTTGTGGTAATGGTTCTTTTTCAAGCCAGAAAACGTTTTCGACTGATTTCAATTCTCAACCGAACGCGGTTGCCGTTGGTGATTTCAACAACGACACCTTGCTGGACATTATTGTCGCCAATTACGGCACAAGCAACGTCGGTGTGTTGCTTGGATATGGTAATGGCTCCTTCGCCGTTGTAAAAAGTTTTTCGATCGGTTATGGCTCTCTTCCGTTCTCGGTTTCCGTTGGTGATTTGAACAATGATGGAAAGCTGGATTTCGCCGTCGCCAATGAAGGAGTTGACAATCTAAAAATTTTCTTACAGACTTGTTAATGTTGCAACTTCTACCTTGAACTTTTTTAAAATTTCATTCACTGTTTCTAACTTCTAGTTAGTCTCACTAATATTTCTTGTAATCTTTTCTTATTCACCTTTTGATTTCTATGCTCAAATAAACTGCCATTCAGAGTAGGTGTCTCAACCAAAGTATGACGCGTTTCTACCCCGCTTAAGGATCTTATCACACACTGCTGAATAAGAATCCGTTCAAATGATTGGGAACATCCAAAGTGTGATACATAGTCTATAATTTCCACGGCAAATTCTCGAAAGACTCCCCATCATAATAGCAGATGTCGTTACTGCAATGATGAGTGAAACAAACTTGGAGGCGTTCGGACCTTGCTTAAGAATCTCATCATGGTGGCTAAATCAATCGAAAAACAGATTGACCTATATGTCTATGAGACAAATCAATCTGCTCCTGTCAATTCTTCCTTTTCAGCAACCGATAAAGTCGAAAACTAAATAGCAATTTAATGAAAAAATATTATACTTTGTATAAGTAATAACTAAAGATAAATGCACAGTTAATTTCGCAGACACGCTTTGTACTATTGTCAATTAGAAAACAGAACGACCTATCTATTAACGAAAAGACAAGTTCAATCTGCTATTCTTAACTTTGCCTCTCCCCAATCGATTTCTTGTCGAAAATTAAATAACAAGAGAATAATAATAGATAAATGTGCTGAACTAAAATAATTTAAAAGAAATACAGAGTTAACCCTTAAAAGCCGAAAGGCCTTATCGTCACAAATTTAAAAAACTTATCACTAAAATAGAGAATACATCCTATTCCGCGATGTTGCACATTGCTGGAATCAGTTTTGCCCCGGAATCGATTCCATCCAATTCCGTAATTCCGCTCACACAGACCTCAATCCGATTCCGGAATCCAATCAACCATTTCCCAACAATTCCGGAACCATTTCCAATAATACCATCTAATTCCGGAACTCCGGGAATTCCATCAAGCAGCAATCGCAACGAATTAGTCGGAATTCCATGCAATTCCATGTAATTCCGTTATATTCCGGAACCATATATACGTTGCATTAATACCATAGCTCACTTCTAGTGTATGCATGCAATACCCAAACGGAATTCCCCGAATCGCTTCCAGGAGGAATTAGACGGAATTAGCCGGAATTGCATGCAATTTCATGTAATTCTGTTATATTCTGGAATCATATATACGTTGCATTAATACCATAGCTCACTTCTAGTGTATGCATACAACTCCCAAACGGAATTCCGGGAATCGCTTCAAGGAGGAATTAGACGGACTTGCATGCAATTCCATGGAATTCAGTTCGATTTCGGAATCATTTATTCGTTGCATTAATACGATAGCTCACTTCTAGTGTATGCATGCAATTCGGAAACGGAATTCCGGGAATCGCTTCAAGGAGGAATTAGACGGAATTAGATGGAATTGCATGCAACTCCATGAAATTCCGTTCGATTCCGGAATCATTTATTCGTTGCATTAATACCATAGCTCACTTCTTGTGTGGGTGTGGGTGTGGGTGTGGGTTGGGTGTGGATGTGGGGTGTGGGTTGGGTGTGGGGTGTGGGTTGGGTGTGGGGTGTGGGTTGAGTGTGGGTGTGGGGTGTGGGCGTGGGGAGTGGGTGTGGGTGGGGTGTGAGTGTGGGGTGTGGGGTGTGGGATGTGGGCGTGGGGAGTGGGTGTGGGTGGGGTGTGAGTGTGGGGTGTGGGGTGTGGGGTGTGGGGTGTGGGTGTGGGTGTGGGTGTCGGTGTGGGTGTCGGTGTTGTTCTGTTCTTCAGTAATACTCACACCCACACCCACGCCCACACCCACACCCACATCCACACCCACACCCACACCCACATCCACACCCACACCCACACCCACACCCACACCCACACCCACTCACACCCACACCCACATCCACACCCATACCCACACCCAGTTGAACACAAATCTGAAGTCCATTTTCGTGATTTCTGTAGAAATTGTATGTCTTTGTGGGGTAGGATCAATGCTGACTAGGTAGGACAGGCCACAGTGTGGTCCATGCTAACTTGGCCCCCGAGTTTTTTTGTCTTGACAATTTAATGTCAAAAGATGTATCTTGACAAGATCTATGTCTGATAAAAAAAGAAGTTTGGACCCGCTTGCACCACTCAAGAAAAGCCCGAAATACTGCTATCTCAGAGTGTAGGATTTCTTGAAATTTTGAAGGTTTTTGATCTATAGCGTTTCTTTTATCCCAGATATGAATCATCGACATAGGATAAATTTGTAGCCTATACTGTTTCCTATATAATGATACGTACCCGATCTCAAATGGTCAAACCATTCATGAGAAAATATCGAAATACTGACCACACCCTATTTTAGCGACTTTTTAGGGTCAATTCTGACCCGCTTAACTTGTTTTAGGTGGCATTTTTCATAGGTAAAAGCAAATGGTCTAATATTTTGGATTTAGCTATAGTTTACCTAGGCCTATCATTTAAGAATATAAAATCGAAAAAAAATTTTTTTCCCCGGCGATCTCTATGGAGAGTAGGGTGGTCCTCTCGCGGACTCTCTCTTAAGAAGTTAAAACAACGAAGTTGAATAAGTTACTTGCATTGACGACTTTGCTTTTTCAGCTTGCGTAAATATGTTTTTGCCTTTTTTGCTTCTTGTTTCATGCTGCTAGCTTCATGGAATCTTTAAATCTCAACAATGATATTATGTTTCAAATATGATCTATTACAATCACTTAAATGCATTCAACACTTTCTTTTTACAAGAGTTTTCATGTTCATTTAAAATATGTTCATAGTGTTTTACATTCTATTTGTATTATGGAAAAGCGAGCGATGCGTCTAGCTGATATGTTTATGCAATTTCATTTTTCTCTTTTTTCTATTTTAACTTTCAATAATGTGACGTTGTATACTGTCACAAAGGAAATTATTCCATTCAAGTTTTCTTCGTCTTTCTTTGCGTTGGTTATTATTCCTCGTTCCAGGATCAGCACATTATTTGTAAGGATCGATAAAATCTCCAGCGCTAATCATATATGAGTTTCTATAGGGGCGACGGTTGCTCAGCCAATCAAGGTGCATACAGCTTATCCTTGTCGTCTCATAAGATCTGATTACATATTATGCTATTTCATCAATGTTTCATCCTTCTAGAATGGATACACATGAATGTTCCCTAAGTCATATGATAAGGTTCTTTAGCAAAGCCAAAGTGTGGCATGATGGCTAACCACATCTTTGGTTTCGATCAAGGATATACTTAAATTAACTCTTGCGATAATGGTAGCTCTATTCACCACTAGATACAGTACTTAGCATTGCGTCAGCAATTATAGATTTAGATTCTTTGAACTGTCAATATATTTTTGTATTTGCAAAGGAGAAAATAGTTTGTTTTTAGGTTAATTGATTTTAATCTATTCAAAATTAAGAGAATCTTTCGTCGTCACACTCATAACAACTGAATCAGATTGAATATTACGCACACCTACATTCAACATGGCATCAGAATTCACCATGTATAAATGTTTTGAAAAAGAAGGCGAAATAATCGAAACAGTAGAAATATTCGCATATGGTCATTGATCTTTTTGTGGGATCCCGGATCTTCGCCAATAAAACTTTCGCCAAATAGCACTTTCGCCAATGGCGAAACTCCACTATACTTTCGCCAATAGACTCACTGGAATATCGCCAATTGGCGAATGTCCACTGTACTTTCGCCACCACACTTCATGGAATTTCGCCAGTTGGCGAAGGTATAGGAGATTTTCGTCAATTTAAGTGCTAATTAGACGTGAATTAGAAAATATGCATTGATTATATTAATAAGTTACGTTTGTGTATGTTGTAGTCATATATTTTTTATGGCATTTTAGATAATAATTATGCCACCCCTTGTTAGCGTGAAATACAAGATCATTAACTAATACAATCAAGTCTCTTTCTCATCTTGTTGGTGAACCTGTTTGTCGTGGACGAAAGGGAAAGCAAAAAAATTAATGTTTCGAAATCAGACTTATCAGGTGCATCATCAGATGAACATTAGGTTATGCTTTATGTGCCTTTTTCTTCATATTAATCTCGCTTTTTTCTTATTAAAAACATGACTCCCTCATATATGAATATACTCTAAGCGTAAGCTATAGTATATATTCTAACAGTATTAGCTTTAGCCCTTACATGTATCCTGTATTAATATTATTTTGTGACGGCTGACAAAACTCCACTATACTTTCGTCAATTGGCGAACGTCCGCTGTACTTTCGCCAATACATACCTTGGAATTTCGTCAATTGGCGAAAGTCCACCGTACCTTCGCCAACACATCCCTGTACTTTCGCCATTGGCGAATGTCCTATTGGCGAAAGTCCGAATTGGCGAACTTCCGGTAACCCCTTTTTGTCACGCGGATGTGTACACGATTGTTGTCGCTTCAGTCAGATTGAAAAGAAAAAGAATGAAAATAGTTGTGAACCTGATTCGACAATATGAAAGTATGGCGGCGTTAGGAGGTGTTTTAATGCAGATAAAAGCACATTCTCGTCTTTCATGATCATCTCTATTTTCTTTATCTAATTAAAACCACTAACTCTCTTCTTCCCGTACGCTATGCAATCAAACAGATAACCTTTTCGTTAGATACCTCACTACCACAAAAATCACCATACAATCGATTTGATATAAAAAAATATTCTATTCTACTTCTTATATTTCATACTAAAGTAAATAGTGATTCTGTACTCAAAATGCATCTAACTCTATTGATGTTTCTCATCATAACGCTGTCCTTCTCTGGCATTAAAGGTAAGAATGAATGTGTGCATGATTTTTCGAGCTGCTTTGCAATTGCCATCCAACTGAAGAGCATCTTTGACAAGTTGAATTGTCCGAGTTTTTGTAATGTAAAAGGAACTTCGTCAACTGATGGCTCTCACGTGGCTTTTTTTGTACAAATACATTCCTTCTGAACTCCAATTTCACTTAACGAGTATAGAAACAAGTATAAAAATATTCGACTTGGAAATGGAATTTAATGATCTGATGACACTTGTGAATTTTACAATCTGATATGATCGTCACCATGTAAAGGATGACATGAAGATCTACCAGTAAGAAAAATCAAGAGGTACCTATTGCGTGTCCGTTTAGTTGATAAGCTGTTTTATAAAAATAAATAGAGATCAATGTTGATGAAAAAAGCCATGTTTCTGATATCAAGATAATTAAAGTCGACTGCAGTTAGTCGGGTTGTCGGAATAGTTGAAATGGACACTGATGAGTGTTGTGGAAGTACATATAAAAATGTTCTAGTTGCTAATGATTTACAGGTGGTACAGACCAATTGAATGCGAAAACTAGGAAATCGTGTTCGCCTGTTAAGTGTTCCGGTGGAAAACCGAAACAATGTGCTTATGGCTATCAGAAGAAAGACGGATGTGAGATATGCAAATGTGAAGATCCGTGTAAAGGGTGTGGGATGGGTGTGT